TGCTTACTAGAACCTGGTTTCATAAGATCTGAAGCAACATTAAACTTGGAACCTGCAAACATGAATTAACTAAATTTTTTCCAGCTTTTTGAACACAGCCCATTTCTCACCTTCCATTTGTCTAGCCATTATCACTTCCATTAATGAAAAAATCTGTAATGATCGAAAACATAGAAAATGCCTTCAGCCAAGTGTTCTCTATTGTTGGACCCAAGAACCTACGGTTCAGTCCAAAGCTTGGCAGGTCAGAACAAATGTCACCTTGAAGATATCTGTACATTACAACACACTTTTTCTTATTGCAAAAAATGCTTAATGTAATTACAGCCAGACCTAATTCATCCTCGTGTCTGGAGAGGCGGAAATGTAACTAGTAAAGAATTTGCCAACTTGAAAGGCAAGGAATTTGCCAAGAGTTTGTTAATCTGAAGGTTTATATATTTTGTTTTATCTGAATATAAAGGGAGTTTGCAAACTGGTTCATATTAACCGGGTCAAGTTGTATATTTTATTAACTTTAAAACTTTTTTTTTTTATTCTCTGCACATTAAAAAAAAAAGTACATGGAATTAGACAGGGCGGTGGGGGTGAAGGGAGATTGTCTTCTCAATAAAAGTTACAAGGAGATACGTGTCAGCTGCTTCATTTTCACTTTCTGGCATTAGCCAGAGACAGCTGCAAAATGTCTCCTCGAACTTAAGCTTTTATGACTTTTACTAACTTCTTATTCAAAAATGTCTTTTATTGATTTCCTAAGGAATCTCAACACAGAGAGCTCCACAGAGAGACACAACAACACACTCAAACACTTGATGCCACATTCACCACCAAAGACGAGTCAAAACCTTTAGGATAATTTGATTATTAGCTCTGGGCATTTCTGTGGATCAACAATATTTTCCCAAAAAGTAAAAGTGCTTTGTTTACTCGCATACATCACACTATAGTCATTGAAATGGCTACCATGACAAAAACCCATCAATGGTGCCCCCTTGTCTCCAAGATAGCAGTTAAGCTCCTTGGCATTAATTCAACCACATTCACCTCTCTCTTTCC